TACCTGCATCAAGAGTCTCCGATATCGAAACGCGCGCAATGCATTCTGGGATCGTCTCATATAAAAAGTGGGCACCAAGCGTGACAGCGGCCATCTTGATAACTAAAGCATCGTCAACATTTATACACTTTTACCTCGCGATTTTACAATTTTTTCCGGTTTAAATTAGATCATAGTTTGTATATAGTTTTAATAATAGTTTGTATATAGTTTTCACTAGTTTGTATATAGTTTTCATATAGTTTTCTCGTCGTTTTTGGCGTGGAAATGAGCGAGACAAGTGAGCTTTCCCTCGAGGAAGTCAACACATGGAAGGTGGACGCTCTCAAGTTATTTTGCCGTAAACGAAATCTTAAAACTTCTGGAGCTAAAGCTGAACTTGTAGCCCGTGTGTTTGCAGCATCAGAGATGGGAATCCAAGTACAAGCATCGGCTAAAGAACTAATGTGCATCACGGAGTCTGAGAGAGCGAAGCTATTGTTTACTCCTGAGGGCAGCAAGCTTCCCGATCCTCTTGGGCTAAAGGACGGATGGATTGATGAAAAAGATGGGCTAACATCATGGCCTCCTATATTTCTAAGTGACATTACGAAATATCTGATGGCTGATCATCCTGGAAAGGATATTAAACTGCACGAACGGGTCATGAATGAGTACAAAGAGGGGAAAGCATACCGCTTATTTGACTCGGGCTTTCTGAAAGAAGTTTTCTACCATGAACTAGAAAATATGGATTTTTGCTTCTTGAAAGCAAAATGTACGCATTCGATGAAGGTTGGTGATACACCACATACATCATGGATTTGTTCAAGAAAAAATGGAGAGATTATCAGTGCCTACTGTACCTGTACTGCTGGGTATGTTAGACTTTCTGTTTTATAAGACTTTAACTTGTAACTGATGCAAAATATAAGCCTAAAATATCATGTTTATCATATACCTCGATTTTATGACTAATGTTGTTGGTCTAAGCTCAATATATATTATACTTTAGAATGTTTAAAATATTATGTCTATCATATACCCTAACTATTTGTTATTTCTTGTTTCAGTATGAGTGGTGCTTGTATTCATGTGATGGCACTGCTGTTCAGAATTGAAGCAGCAAACCGTAATGGTATGACAAATCCTGCATGTACGTCCAAAGAGTGTGTGTGGAATGTTCCAATAGGAAACAAGACTGTAATCAAGCCCTCTAGAATTTGTGATATGGAGTGGAAGGCTTCAAAGCTAAATAAAGGTATGTTATTATGTTTAAAATTCTAAACAAAGTATTTACAGTATGTATACTGGATAGACATAAGTGTTATCTGGGGACATAAATAAGAAAGTTCTTATTAGCTTGTAACCTAGCAATTAATTTACTTTTATTTTGTGTTTTTCTAGAGACGACCAGACCTGCCATCGATAGTCGCCGAAAGTTATTCAATTCACATGAAGAGTTGAAGCCCCTGACTCCAAAAGGAAAGAGGAAGTCGTTTTATAATAATTTGAAGGACTTGTTGCCAGAATCGGCATTCATCAAATTAGCAACGGCTGAGTTTGAGGAACCGTGTTCAACTTCCGTTACAATAGAAATTAATACTGAAGTACCTGAATGTGTAATGCCTAAGTCATCAAAGAAAGACTTAAGTGCTGATGATAT